TTAAGTAAAGTTAAACATGAACACAATTACGTGCCTGCTCAGTGGTCTAAGGTTAAAGTGTTCGGATACGAAACCAAAGGTCCTAAGTCCGATTCCCGCTGCCTGGGTAGTGAACACGTACTGAGGAGTCATATGCAAGGATGAGATGGCCATTCAATAGTTCCAGGCTATCAATGGCCTAGCAGTGGAATCCAGGACGCGCGTTTCGTCCTATTTGGGACTCGTCAGCTGGATGTACCTGCATCTCAGAGTTGATGTTCACTCTGGGAGGAACTCGAACTCAGTACCCTTGCTTCAAACGCTATCACGTTATGCACTCGGCCACTGAGTCCTGATAGCCACTTGCTTGTGCGATGGAGTGAAGTTTAAATTCACTTAGTATTGCTTGTTTGAATCTTCCCATCGATGTGTTAGGACTGCAACTGGTCAGTCTCTAATTGGCATATGTGCATACTGTGCGTATTGCCTCGATATAGCCTCAATTCACAAGCATGTCTTCAGTGAGTTGATATCTCACTGTTGCTCATCTCGTGGATTGGTTGAAGATAGACATTAACACCGTTGGATGGCGGCTCATTGGTCTAGATGTTAAGCGCTCGCGAGGCGGGATCATGGGTGCGCACTGCTGAGGAATCCCACGATAGGACGAAACGGCCGTCCAGTGCTTCCAGGTTCTCCATGATGGTCTAGCTTCAATTGACTCAAGATTTCAACTATGAAAATACTGAAATCTCCACAAAAAACCCCTTCTGATAAAATGAAATTCACATTCGTTGCGCAGGTAAGCGGATAACTAGACTCATCAGCTATGTGGGAAATGCACTGAGCATTTGAAGCGAAAAACATTGGGTTGGAGTCCCGGATTACTTAACGTCTCTATGAATTATGATTATTTCAGCTATTCCAATCAGGAAGTTTGAACCTAGTGATATGGCTCAGATCATCAGTCAATGATTTCACAGGCTGGTGGTATATCTTAATCAGTCATCATCCATCTTTCTTTTAACTTACTTTGGTGCCATCCATTGTGACTGAAGAAATAAAGAAGGTTTAGAGTAGTAACTTTTTCGAATGGAACAAGATGCATTATTATCTAAAGTTTAACGAGAAATTGTATCATGAAAATAGTTTACAGTTCAGAGTTATGGGGATAACTGTCGAAATAATAGATAAAATTATGAAAATCGGAAGAGGGTAATAAGAACTGATTAGTTGATTTGAAAAACTGGAACAGTTGTTAAGATCATTGTAGGAATGAGAGGTTAAACCAAATTTTTTAGCTTATAGATTTAGACTTGAACTGGTAAATTAATAAAATCACTGTAATTTAGACATTTTTGATTTGCATTCCGTTTGAACCTACTTTTTTGACTGTATAAATAAATATGGTAGATAATCCTAGAGAAGCAATACGACTATAATTTACAAGACGCTTCAGAAATAAACTTTTGACTATTTTCCACTTTTCTTGTAGGTTATCTATGATAATACTCTAAGATGTGTTTACAAGGCGTTTGCTTTGTGGATTGACCTTAAGTTGCTCCATAAGAATAAGTAAATTTACAAGTTAACATGCCTACTTATTGAATTAAAAAGTGGGCAAGCAATAACAGGATATCGTTTGACCTACCACTGATAAGTATGAATAGTTATTGAGTAGAGTTCAATTCATATTGTTGAGGGGTCAATCAAATCTAAATGCTTTATCCGAATACCTCAAGCATATAAAATGACCTATGATTTGTCACTAATTCTAATAATGGCAACAGAATGATCTTTGTGATCTACTACTATCATGTTTTAACTTAATCACAACCTATCACAACCTTGATACCATCAATATTGTGGAATATATGAGATTGCTCGTTCGAATGAACAAATCCTGGGACAATATGAGTTCAGGACAATTAAGAATATCTTAAGAGTATAAATGACACACTTTTATGCATAAATGATGATTGACATTTGTATACCCCAATCTGATTATATAAATTAAAAGAAATCCTAAAAGAGAACCAATACTTATAAACCGGAGAGGATGTTTCCTGAATCGAGGACAAATATAACAACAAAAATCCATCAAGGGAAGTTGTTTCATTATTGATGGCAACATTTTTTAACTTTAGTAAAACTTTACTACAATCTGGGGAATATCGAAAGTAGTAATGAAGTAATCACTGTAAAGAAGCTCCTTGATTATTAGCACGCGCTATCTGACGCACACACAGATGAGGATAAATTATTTTATCTTCTTTGTTTGTCTGTAAAAAGCGATAAATATTGAGTTATAAGTAGTGGCTCCAAATTATCTTCAATGGCGCGGATGCATTCATTCTTCATCATTCCTTGGTTTCTGAATACCAAAATCTTATACCTTCCTTTTTCAACATCTACTATTTTCTACTACTCCCGATACTGTTAACATTTCTACTACTCTGGGATTTGTCATGATGCTTTCATCTCGCTGTGTTATGAAAACTTGAGCTGACGCACATGTGTCACGTTTTATGTTGGATATGACTTTGTAATGCGGATATATCTAGTTGACAAGTCCCAAAGTTGAACGAAACGAGCCTACTGTATCCTACTGCTAGCTAGATCCTATCTATTGTGTAAAATTATGTTATAATGGCTATATCAAGACAATCTACATGGGATGCATGTATGCTAAGACTGATTGAATCTCAGTCAGAATATCAACAACAGTATAACTCAAACTACTACAAATTAGAAATAAAATATTCACACTTTTTATTTAGCGAATTCATTTTTTTCTGTCGAAACATCTTGTTTATGTATTCAACTATTACTGATATTTATATATATAGTTGAAATCATGAGTCAATTGATGCCAGCTCAGTGGTCTATCGTTTAAGTGCTCGCGCGCAAGACTAATAAGTCTTGGGTTCGAATCTCATGAGGCGGAATCGTGGATGCGCACTGATGAGGAGACCCACAATAGGACGGAACGACCGTCCAGTGCTTTCAGGTTTTCCATGATGGTCTAGCTTCAATTGACTCATATATATATATAAATTACTAAAAATCTGCACAAACAACCCTATTACTGATATTGTTAATACTTCTACTATTCTGTAGTTTATTATGATTATTTCATCTTTTTGTGCTAATTTAATGCGGGACAAATTGAATCAATCTATATATTGTTCAAGATTCTATGTTTCTCACAACTGACACAACTTGTGGTAGTAGTTATTAACACTTGAAATAAATAACCATAGCTCAACAGAAAACAAAAAGTTATGCATAAATATCACTTTGAATCAAATCAATGATGACAACAAACACAAACGATGAGTATGACAATCGTATAAAATGAATTCCTAGTCATATATATATATATATATATAACAAATGCAAATAAATTTACAATCAGCTGATCTCCAATTTATAACCAATCAGATGTTCAGGTATCCTAAGGTCATTAGAACTGAATATATATACGACACGATTTGTACTATTACTGAAAAGTTTTCTTGTTCACGTTATCATACATTGTAAAATAATTAGAAAAAAAATCTAACTTATTAAAGTAAATTAGTCTTTTGTAAATGCTATTTCAAGCATGATTCCCATTGGAAGTAAACATGATTTGGAGTGCTAATCATTTGTTATGATAATGATAAGATTTTGTAGAAATGTAATTCTTTTATCTCTATAATCAATCCTAGTCATTCATTATGTAATGTTAATTCATTATCTAAAATTTTCTTACTTCAATCAATCAATATAACAATAAGGATAAATTACATTTATCGATAATGCAATCAGATTGTTCGAAATGCATTGCGTAAATATATAACATAATCCTGATAACTTTTATTTTCTCATTACATTATTGAGAAAAAAAAGAAACTGTTATAAACGTAGGATAATTGTTATAACTCTAGGGTTTCTTGTTATAATAATCCTTTCACTACAGGACTTCAACACAACTCAGATCAAGAACACGAGATTAGCCTGACTAGAACGTCGATATATTTCCATACCAAAATCCGACACAATCCAACCATAAGGAACAGTAAGTCTATGATAATTATAAATAATGAGGATAGGGGAATATATAACACCTGTCACACTAACCACATGTCTGACTCAACAAAACAACCAATCATTATCATACTCGCTCACACATCAGAAACATCTTTAATTTCGTTTAACAAAATAGTACTAAACAAGGATTGTTCTTAATTTTATCAATGTGGATTCAATACACTATAAATGACTGATCATTTTGTATAATCATAATAGTAACTTAAATCTCAATACACAACCAAGTCTTTAATTTCTACAGATGTAGTACAAGTACGAACAACTGAATTAAAATTAAATAATCATCAACTTATTAGAGTACCATGTACATAACCCAAAGTACAATAGAATAAGCTCCAATTGTACGAACAAATTATACTTTTTAAGCAAAGATGGATACTGGCTAGCAGTGGAATCTAGTTTGACGCTCGTTACGTCCTGTTTGGAACTCATCAGCTGGATATATCTACATCTCAGAGTTGATGTTCACTCTAGGACTCGAACCCAATATCTTTCGCTTCAAACGCCATCACTTTACCCACTCAGCTACTGAGTCCTGATAGCAACTTGCTTGTGAGATGGGGGTGAAATTTCTTAAATTTACTTAGTATTGTTTGTTTGAATCTTCCCATTGACTGACCAGTTGCAGTCTTAAACATCAATGGGAAGATTCAAACAAACAATACTAAATGAAGGGTTTTTTTGTGGAGATTTAGTATTTTTCATAGTTGAAAGAGTGAGTCAATTGAATCTAGACAACCATGGAAAACCTGGAAGCACTGGACGGCTGTTGCGTCCTATTGTGGGACTCTTCAGCAGTGCGCATCCACAACCTCGCCTCGCAGGATTCAAATTCAGGACCTACCAGTCTCGCGCCAGAGCAAAGGTGCTTTTCATCAATTCTTCCTAATCAGTTTCTTTGTTGAAATGAATCATAAAAACCGTGTCAATCCTTATTCACATTATATATATATATATCTGTATATAACATAAGTATGAAACTGTTTGTTTACTTTGTTTACATTTATTTATACCTCATTGTGTGAATAAACATCAAAAAATATTGTTTTATTGTTAAAAAGAGAGAGAAAAAAAAGAGAAGCAACCAAATCAATTTAGTCAATATGAAATTGACATTCACATAGATATAGATAGATAGATAGGTAGAACCACCATTTTACTCATAACACCAAAATAAATAATCATAATATTTACATAGAAATAAAGACAAACGTATGTATGTATGTGTGCGAATGGACAAAGTTCACAGAGAGAGAGAGAAAGAAACGATATGCCCACAAAAAAACGACAAAAAAGAAGGAAGAGAAACAGAAAAACCAGACTTACGAATAGGTAGATTTTAACTGTTGCATTATAATAATGCGCTATGAAAGACCGATTAATTACATCACAACAAATTACAATAGTTATTCACTTTCATATGAAACATACATACAGCGGAGACAGCAGCAGCGGTGTAATAATACAAACAGATGTAGAATAAAGAAGTGATAGAGAAAAAAAAAAGAATGGAATTAACAGTCATAATACAACAATGAACACAAGTGAACAAATAAATTTTTTTAACTCTGTTTAAATGAAATGCTTACTGAACATGAAGAATACCACAGAGAGAGAGAGTATAAACCAACTATCAATAGGGGTAAAAAAAAGGTGAAATAATCTTCATTTAACATTATGAACAATAATGTTATTGGTAAATACATACATCATTGAGATAAATTTGTATTCGGAAAAATGTGAAGAGATAGCAAACTTCAAATCACCGGACAAATGAATTAAAAGCGATGATAATAATAATAATAATATCGAAGATCAATAAACCGTAACTAGAAGATGTTAAGAAGGTTAAACATCTCCTCTCTCTCTCACTCTCGTACATACACAAACATATGGAAAAAAAAAGAACACTATGAAGGAAAGAAGGAAGGAAGACTCGGTGGAGGCGAGCAAAGAGAAGCATAAATTACAAATCAACTATCCATATGTAATTGTTTAATAAATGGAATGCAAAACAATCGTAATAATAATCACGGGAATTTTAAAGTCTAGAATAAAGAAAAATAGAGATCTCAAATAACATACATTATCATAATAATAAACATGTGTACACACTGTCACAGAGCTGATCATCTATCTTGTATAACAAACACATTGAATGTCGATCATTTCAACTAATATATGACAGAGGTGAAATGGAACAAAGTAATTCATGAATCTTTCAACAACAACAAAGACCGTAACAACAATAAGAGAAAAAAACACAAAGAGAAATAATGCAGATACATCTTGGAATCTTAGGCATATATAATTTATGTTTATAATATTTAAGTATCTTTTTTATCAGTAAGAGCATGGACAAAAGAATTTTTTTAATTCATTTTATTGATGAAATGTAAGGTAATAAATGCCTCACTACATTTTGTATAAATATATAAATATATGTCAATTGGATAGAGCTTATCAACTTATTCGAAACTAGTTGTTTCCGAGATTAAAATAGGAAATGCTTATATTAATGATAATAACAATAATATTAATAATACTGTGTTGGATCATTTCACAGATGATAGTATTGTTTAATTGGAATAATAACATCAACTAACGATTAGGTCGCAGTAACTGGGTCACAATACCAACATACATTATTCCATCGAGAGAGGGGGGGGGAGGAGGAATATATAGCAACACTAAAATTAATTAAAGGAATGTTTTCTTGATTACATATTTTTGTAAATATATAATATGACTTATCTTTTTTTTAATGATTATGTTTAATGAATTAACTGTAAAAGAAAACTGTGTATAGGATAGATACATCAGTAAATAAACACAGGGGTAATTATAAAAAAAGAAGAGAAACATCGGAAAACTAGTAGTAGTCAGTACGTTTGACAGAACACCATATATATGTAAACACCAGTAATAACACAGATTATTGTAAATTTATAAAAAATAAATTGAGAAAAGAAAGACAAAATCAACCAAAACATAGGCACAAAACAAAATTGAAGAGAAGAGACAAACAAATCTTACATAAATCAATCAAAGTTAACAATGATGTGTGCTTTATTTATGTATACAGGAATAATGGTAGCTCAACTAACTACTCTCTCTCTTTTTCTTTTCAGTTCATACCACATATTCATCATGAATGCAATCATAGCAACATTTTTTTTAAAAAAAAAGTAATAATAAGTGTGAAATAGCCGGTACAAGACAACTATTGATATAAGAGGTTGACAAGAAAATTGAAGCATTTATTGAACCGAAAGACAACGAGAAAGAGAGGGAGGGTGGGTGGTTGAGAAAGAGAGAGAGAGAGTCAAATACACCGCGCACAATCTTTGAGAGAATTAAGTTTTTCTAGTCTTATTAGGTGTAAAATGATAAGAAAGGAAATAAGTAGCTGTATTATTCATTCTCATTTATGTATAGTTTTTCAAACTTGATTACATGGGAGTAGGTTTGAATAATCGCTTGAATCAGTTAGTAATTGACGATGACAATTATTCATAAGACGATTACTATTTTTATTCTCATTATTATCAGATGATTGAGTAATATTCTTGTTAGACATTGAAGAAACTTTATTAAATGATGATTTCATTGAAATAGATTTCATATTATTATTATTATTACACCTAGAAAGACGATCAATTTTATCGCCTGTTACATCACCATTAGTAGTAACAGGTATAATACGATCACGATGACGACCACCATTATTGTTGTGTTGTGATACAGCAAGCCTTTGTTTTAACAATCGTAATTTATGTACCATCAATGTTAATTGAATTTCATCATCACGATATTTTTGTGAACGAGAACGACGTATAAATTTATCTAATTGATTTGCTAAATGTGTTGTAGTAGCACTATCGAAACCTTCAGTTTTAGTAGCTTCTAATAATTGACTTCGTAGATTACTGACAGTTTTCCAAATATCCGAGAATGAATGATACATTCTAAGATAGGTTGGATAGGTACATTCAAATTCAGCTAAATACATTGAAGCTTGTTCTGATGTTGAGATTTCTGGATAAAGCCTTAAGAAGGAAAAAGGATATAAATATAATTGTTTTAAAAAAAATATTCACAACTTCACATGCTGTTAAAATTCATCTATTGTATGAAAATCTCAGTTTATTGGTTAGATTTAACTGTCATAACTCAAGATATCACAAAATACTAGACAGGCTTAGAGTTGTTTAACTGCTCGAACGAGAACCAGTCCCTTAGATGTGGTATGGTCGCAGTGACTTATTGATTAACGCACTCGACTTTCAGTTCAAGGTTCGAATCCCACTTCGTACACTTCTGCTTGGGAATCCCAGTAGTATCTGTAAATACCTGATGAATGAGTAATTTTTTAAGATATTACAAATCCTAGTCTGCAGACACATACATTCAATTTAGAGTTCAATATGTGGTTCTCAAACATATATTCTGACAATATGAATAATATATATGTAAATTGTGTGACAACATTGCTTGTATGAAAAATGCTACTAACATATTCACAGAAAACTATTCAAGGATTACAAATTAACTATCTACAAGATGCAACACAAGAACCAGTTGGTAATCTATTCTAAGTTGTATCATAATTGCTGTGAATAGTTTTGGAAGAGGATAATTATAATCCAAAGAAACATTTAAGCAGAAGTTTGAACATCTCATACCATTATAACCTGAAATATTGTCTTTCAGAAAAAATACCATTTATGTGAAGGTAGATTATGTCGAATCTAACAATACTGCTTTACAATAAACAGATTTAAATATTAACTATGTATAAATAATTAAGAGAACATACCGATCGATTTCAGCCAATTTACTGCTCAAATCGCCTACATGAAAACCATCTGTTCCGACAATACTTTGAGACAAAGCTTGTTCAGTTACACCATATGCTGGTGTATTTGTTGTATTACCTAAAAATATGAAAGGATAGGAGAAATAGACAGAAGATAAGCAAGAAATGAAACAAAAACTAAATATATAAATATTAGACTAGTACATTCAATAAGTTTCCATTTCATTAAAATCAGATTGTTCGAAATAAGTAAAGTATACTTATAGGCATCTCTTAAAGAAATACATACTTTACTTAAACAAATATGAGCTATCTTTGAAACAGATTTAGTACTTATATATTTTATTTTTAATATTATATTACCGGTTATAAACAAAACATAAAGTATTTTCATAGTTGAAAGCGTGGGTCAATTGAAGCTAGACTAACAGGGAAAACCTGGAAGCACTAGATGGCCGTTTCGTTATATTGTGGAACTCCTCAGCAATGCGCGTCCACGACCTCGCCTCGCGAGATTCGAACCCAGAACCTACGAGTCTCGCGCCAGAGCACTTAACCGATAGATCACTGAGCCGGCATCCAATGGTGTTTATGTCTAGCTCCAACCAATCCACGAAGTTGAGCAACCATTCACCAATTGTCTTCAGTGAGTTTCTATCTCACAACAGACCTGATTTGAACCCCACTGGTCACTGCTTCTCACTAGAACTCCTGGATTTAGCTCTCGAATTCAGTCACTAGTACATGTTTCATGTAGAGGTCAGTTTTGAGATAGTCTTTATTCATGACTAATATTTTTGTAAGAGAGAACTACTACTGAAAAACGTTTAAATTTGAAACATTACTTTTGAGTAGCTCAATTAACTGATATTTATATCAAAATACGTCAAGCGGTAAGACAATAATACAGAGTCATTTGTCTGACAAATTATTAACCGCTTTGTCCAACAACATAACAGGTTGAAGTAATATGCATCCCGTCATCAGATCAATAATTTCAAAAGTATTAACTTTGTTTTAACCTTTGTTTAAGTGTTATATATGTAAACTAACAGGATGAAGTGATCATTCCTAAATTGCACATTTGTTCACTTTGAAATGATAGACGAAAGATAAATGCAAAACTGCAACGTATACAAAATAAAACAGAATGGCATAAAAATAATGAATGACAGTGTCATGAATAAACGAGATGAATTTTTATTACCGAAATTGCAATGAAGTAAAAATACGCTAGATTTTAAAAATTACAATAACTTCGACGGAGTGCATCAAATTTATTTATTAATTCATTTAAATAGATAAACATTAATACAAAGGGCAACACAAATCAATGAATTTGTGTATGGGCTGAGATACTTTCTGAGTGCCCAAACTGAAGCAGATGTTTTTCTTAAAGCGCCATTTCCCCTGTCTTTGACCCAGAGATCTAATCTATAAGGTAGTGGAGAAACGTTAGGAGAAGCAGTCCCATGGTAGCTAGTGACCAACAATAGGTTCATACGTCATTTGTTCCTTCAAAATTCTGGAGCCTATGTGCACAATTGTTTTGGAATCACGATTTTCCAACTCCCCCTAGGTGGATCCTCCGTACCCACTAACTCAGGTAAAAGCACCGAACATTCGTTTTTCGTCCTCTGAATTTTGCAAACAACGCCCCCGCTGCCAGAAGGCAGTGAGTAGGACTTCCCTGGTAGTAGCTGTATGTGCGTGGCCATACGACGGAATTTTGAGAAAGAGAGAGCGGTTTCACATCATCCTCAGGCGTACCATGGCATTTGGGAGCTCATCGGATAAAAATTTTATTTTATTTAAACACATAAAAATTGGTACAATGAAGCACCAGATAAATATGCGCCTCACAAATCTCATTCGATTTGTGTGAGGGCTGTGATACTCCCCAGGTGCCCAGACTGAAGCAGATGGTTTTCTTAGGGGGCCACACCCGGAGCCTTTGACCTGAATGTCTGATCTACAAGGCAGTGGAGCATCGTAAGGAGATGCAGTCCCATGATAGCCGGTGATCAACGGTTGATTCGTACGCCATTTTTTCCCTCAGGATACTGGAGCCCATGTGCACCATTGGTTTGGAATCAGGGTTTTCCAACTCCCCTAGGTGGACTCTCCGTGTCCACCAATCCGGTTATAGCGCCGGACATTCGCTTTTCGTTTTCTCACTGCAAAAATGATTTCTTATACAATTAATTATTGCTTGTTTTTTGCTAGTTTTGCTTTTTTTTGCTAGTTTTTTTTTAAATTGACAAATTTAGCTCATCAGTCTATGTAAAAAGATATTTATAAGTCTATCACCAGACAGTTTAACCAATGCGATAGTGAACATCTTCCTTCGTGGCTTGAAAAATGTCACATTTCAATACGTGAATTCATTTTATTATATTTGATTGACAATGGTCATGTGGTAGATGGAACTAAAGTATTCTGAGTGATTTACCTGCAATCCAATCAGTTCATCTCGATAGTATTTGATTTCAACTTTTATACGTATAGTGAAAGTTGTAGGGATTAAAACTAATAACCCTAATCTTGTTTAAAACAATTTTGAAATACCTTTGTTTATTTCCCTCTGAACCTCTTAAATCTCCTCTTTATTACTCATATATTTAAACTGATTACTCACACACCCCTTATTACGTAATGCTTGATTAGTATTTTGATTGATTCATTTTATTAAGTTCGACCTATTTCCTTTGTTGGAATATCTATTCAAGGTGTTATTATTTTTACTTTACTATAAGTTTGCACTTTTTATTGTTATCAATGACCAAGAAATTCTTTCCACCAGGTTAGTAACTGTCCTTTATACAAATGAAGAATTTTGATTTGTGCATCATCAAAAGTATATTTGTGTATTTGAAAATAAAAATTTTAATGGACGAGTTATTTTATCAACCTCAGTGTTATCATTATGTACTATCTGTCAATTTTTACAAACAATTAATTAGCAGAAGAGGGTTTTGTGGAGATTTTAGTAACTAAATAGTTGAACTCATGAGTCGATTGAAGCTAGACCACCACGGAAAACCTGGAAGCAGTGGACGGCCGTTTTATCCTAGTATGGGACTCCTCAGCAGAGCGTGTCCACGATCCCGCCCTGCGGGATTTAAACCCAGGACTTATCGGTCTGGCATGCAAACGCTTGACCTCCAAACCACTGAGCCGGTATCCAACAGTGTTAATATCTAACTTCAACCACGAAATTGCACCACCGTCCACCATTGTGTCCAGTGAGTTATTATCTCACAACAGACCCGGTTGAACTCCACCAACTATCAAACAATTAATTAGTGTTAAGGTACACAACAACATCTATATATAGTTAGTCTGTATTACGAACAGTTTTTACTTTGAATTCTCAAGACAATTATATAAAATACTAACGAAGTTATATCCCTACTCAGCTGAACTCAATCACTTTAATTATGCACTGAAGTCGTTGGCCATTATGGTATTTTAAACAGCTTTGGAAGTTTTCAGTAAAATTCATTCCTAAGACTCTCTAAACTAAAGACCTAGACAAGCCAGAATTGATGGGAATGTCAATTATCTAAGGTTGTTATAGAATTATATAACTGAATGGTATACAATTAATTGTTAATTGATAGTCAACCGGAGCGAAAGTTTATGTTTCCAAGTTCAGTGTCATACGCTGGAGGTGATGTGGTCTCTGAGCCTGATGGATTGGCTTTGAAGCTTTCAATGTTTTTCTAAACAACAACATTAGCACGTACTTCAAATAGAAGTGAGTTAGTAGAATTTCTTCATAGGTGGCTAACAACGTGCTTTGTTGATCTGAAACTTGGTTGGTCGTTGTTTATACGTGTTTTTTCTCATGACCTGAACTCTGACCTTACAGTTGTTAATCTTTTTTCTTATTGATCGATAGATTAAGTTGATTTCAGTGTACATATTGATCGACGCTTAATTAGAGTCACAAGCTTCTAAAGATTCTTTGGTTGTTTTTCTCAGTTGAACTAATGATCACAGTTGTCCACATGCATCAATATGAGTGAAGCTATATCGTAGACGAAGAGGGCATCCACTTTATCCTGCATGGTGTTTATTGAAATCAATCTCGAGATAACATTTGGCATGTCTTCGTTTTCTTTGGTCCGGAACAACGGTCTTGTTCGCTTTCGGATTACATTTATTCATGTTGGTCTTAATAATCTGTTTATGACCTCGGATAAGTTCTTCATGTGAGGTAAAACTATCCTGTTTGCCGAATTTCGACTTTTTTATTTAGTTGTAGGTTTGATCAGCAGTTCTAAATAAAATTTTGTGAGTCGCTAATTTTCAAATTACATTACATAGGTATTCTCTTTTATTTTTCAAATAACTGCAATCCAATTACTCGTTTGAATAGTGCTCGTATACAGTTGATTTTGTGAGGCATCAAGTTATTGGTTTCGATCGGTATGGACTGATTTCCGGTAAATATGAGCATCCATCTTTTTCGTGTTGGTTCTGGTGATCAACATATTTAATGATGAGAGTTTTTTATCTATTTCTACCTCTAATGTGAATTTTATGTCGTTTAACACGTAGTTGATCAAATTGTTAGTACTTTCCAGATTATTTTTTTCGGATGATGACGAATGTGTCGTTCATATAAAGTATACAAATTTTTGGTTTGATCGTTGGCAGGATTGAAGTTTTCTAACATTAGAATATATGCTTCCATAATTAATCCGAATATCGGTGAACCCACTGAAGTTCCTTTTGTTAGTATATTTTCGAGTTAGAGGTACGTTATCAGTCAGGTTTTGGCATTGAAGCTTGATTAAGAAAAATTTGGCAAAAAGAATGAATCATCTGTCCTTTGGTATATTTGGTTGGATAGAGGCAAATAAGACAATAGCATTGGAGGATACCTTCAATTCGTTGTTGGCAATTTGAATATTTTCATTCTCCATAGATCTTATTTTGTCAACAGTTCCGCTTAGACAAGTTTGTTGAGAGCCCCGTTGATTTTATTATAAATTTTTTTGGATAGGATTATCTTCCATTGGTTGATATGCACTATCGTCTTTGAGTAGCTCCTCAGACCTCTGAATGTAGTCTTCTTTATTCATGAATACCGTGGTATGTTCTTTATCTTCAGGAATTATGATTGTGTTTTTCTGTATTTTCAGTTACGTTAACGCCATTTGTTCACGCATGGTAATTTAATAGTAATTCTTTTCCAGGTTTTCGATGGTGGTCTAGCTTCAACTGACCCATGATTTCAGCTATGAAAATACTAAATTCTCCACAAAACCCCCTCTGATCTATAATCATATGCTCACTAGTGACTGACTTCGAGAGATATTTCCTTGAGTTCTAGTGGGAAGTAGTGACCAGTGGAGTTCTACCAAGTCTGTTGTAGAGATATCAACTCACTGAAGACAATTGGTGAACGGTCGCTCAAAATCTTGGATTGGTTGAAGTTAGACATTAACACCGTTGGATACCGGCTCAGTGGTCTATCGGTTAAGTGCTATGGCGCGAGACGGGTAGGTTCTGGGTTCGAATCTCGCGAGTGCGGGATCGTGGATGCGCACTGCTGAGGAATCCCTTAATAGGACGGAACGGCCATCTAGTGCTTCCAGGTTTTCGATGGTGGTTTAACTTTAATTGACTCATGATTTCAACTATGAAAATTTTTCTTTTGTTGAACCAGGAGTACTACTTTTTCTTTTAGTTTTTGTTGAGTTTCTTCATTTAGTAGTGAAATTTCGAGTGATAACTCTAGTGTTTTTTTGACACATTTTCAGTATTGTAGTTCATTTTTGAAAGAGCTGTTCTTCTACCTAAGTCAGGGGCTGTTTGAAGAGTTCACTACGCAATCATTTGTTTCTGCTTCGACTGGCAGTTGAGAGATTTTGGTTGATTTTATCCTTAGTGCTTTGTCTCTGTCTTTTATGTCGTTTGTATGATGTTTTGATCTCAATTAAGGTTGTCTTACAAAAGGTCAGTTTAGACCCAAATAACTCATTAGTAACGCATCAGGCTGTGAAGTTATATATATAACAGATTATAATATAGTAACCCAGAGAACTGAAATTAATGGTTATCGATTATAAAATGTTTGATGCTTCGTATAAGTCACGTGTGTTTATGTAAGTCATGTGAGTAAGGAATAAGCAACAACATTAACACACAGCATATATAATTTACGGTCACTATTATAAACAGATGAACACAATGTTTTATCTAACAAAATAATGCCAGTTTTAATGTAAAATATGAATGTCAATTATATACTTAAAATAAGGCAGAAAAATTATCTATGAGATATTGCTATACATTAAAGCTACATCCTAGTACAAAACACCATAAAAATAATTTAGGGTTAATTTAAATCTAACTCGTCAAATAAAGAATGATGTTTCGTTCTACTACCCCCAAATGCCCTGGTACGGCCGAGAGCGGAGAGAGTACGCTCTCCCTCTTAAACTGCTCTCACATGGCCACGCGTACATAGCCTCTACCACGGAAATCCTACTCACTGCCTCCTCATGGCATTACCGTTGTTTACGAAATTGAGAGAACGAAAAGCGAATGTCCGGTGCTTTAACCAGTTTGGTGGACACGGAAAATCCACTTAGGGGGCTTGATAAATCCTGATTCCAAACCAATGGTACACATGGGCTGGCTCCAGTATCTTGAGGGAACAAATGGTGTATGAATCAATCGTTGTTGACCGGCTACCATGGGACTGCATCTCCTCACGATGCTCCACTGCCTTGTGGATCAGATCTTTCGGTCAAAGGCTCCGGGTGTGGGCCTCTAAGAAAACCACCTGCTTCAGTTTAAGCACCTGGGGAGTATCACAGCCCTCACACAAATCAGATGAGATTCGTGCGGCGCATATGTATCTAGTGCTTCCTTATACCAGTATTTATGTGTTCAAATAAATAATAAATAAAATAAATTCGTTCTACTAGAGAATTATGGAAGCATGAGTATTAGTACAGACAAGTCTGAAGCTATTTGTTCACTTTTCGGTTAGTTGTTTTTAGCAATTGACAAGATTGTGAATGTGATTAGGTTAAGTCAGGTCAGAATATACTAGAAATGTACAGCTAATATCTGTTTTAATTGTTTTAATTAAGCCAATGTAGAGTAAAAGAGCTCTAAAGATGATGATTTATAAACTAAAAGTAAACCATTGATTTTCGTCTCAAGCTCGAAATACGATGGAACTGTTTGAATAGATAACTTGACCGATAAGAGTTAGGTAGTAGCAAAATAACGTTTATGCAAATCTGTCATAAATGTCAGGCTTATAAGCTCACTTAAGATCGAACTTGCTGCGTGAAAGCGTGATATCTTATGTGGCTCTTCAAATCGAATTAGGGATTAAGACCAAGAGCACAATGGTTGATGGACATGTGGTTAAACATGTCAGATATCTTAAGATGATGAAAAACTGATATAATATACAAAAATGTATTTACCGATTATACACTCGATGATGAACAACAGAATATAAACTTATCAAATTATCTGAATACATTATTTTTCTAGTTACAAGATAATCCTAAACAACCTGAACTGATCGGAAATTGAAAATTCCATTAACTCTTAGGGACGATCTTCTCTGTACTAATCTATGTTTTGGAAAAATGATTTATGAAAGTGAAAGACATATGTCAGCTAAGTATTTGGATATAGGTGTCTTCGAAGCATTACTCGTGCATGCAACTGAGTGGACAGTAATAGTGCAAGTTGACAGGCAAATCAGTTGAAGAGGTAATGGAGTCCTATCGGCTGGTGTGATCAGGACGTGTGCTACCGCTATCCAACCACCATTTACCTCGACCAGAACGTTAGCTGGAGTAAAAACGAGCAATGAAACCAATACGTACCATCAGTCCATGAAGTCACTAGCTGTTGGATAGAAGCACTTTAGCAGACTGTCTGATTAGTATCCGCATGATAATCGATGTCAGTGGTTAGAGAGACTAGTTGAAACAGCTTAGAATAGGTCATAATTGTGCACATGTACTCAATCTGTATTTCTTTAGATCTCGAGCTTAGGTATAATTCAATACATACTATTTCATTCTAACTCTTCGGAACATTCAAAATCTTCAGTCTTCCTCAATATTGTTGATATCGCTATTATTTTGACTTTTCGTAGTTCTCTTGTTAGTTATGTCTCGTCAGGATGATAAGGAATGGTAACCTAAGCCAAGGGATATTCGTCTCAGACTATAATGATCATGGCTGACTGATCGACAGGAAAAGCACGTATTATAGTAGGGATCATTATTTACAAACGAATACTTTTAATTTCACCGACTGCAAAAAAATGGAGGTTCGGTATTTGAAAACCAACAGATCTGTTACACCAGTCAAATAAACACTCGACAAATATTTTCGTTATTTCATTAAGCCATAAGACAAGGATTCGGGGGTTGTGTAACGCTCGTAAACCAAAAATAGTAGTATACACATCTGCGAATTGTTTAATTGTACTATTTCGCACTTTGTACACAATGTATGCGATTTAGAAGACAACTGAGTATATTAACGTTTCAAGCAGAAGTAAATGATAGCTCACTTTACAGCAAGATAAATCGGTTCCACTAAGAATCAATAACCGTTAAAAACAGATTTGTAAAACTAGCTATCACTGGCAAACTGATTCGTTATAATTAAACATTTGGTTTTAATCACATTATACCCGCCACAATTTAACTTAGCATGATATAAGAAAAATAGTTATTTCATTTCACTATTACATGATTTGTATACTTTCGAACAAACTAACCCTATTCACTTTTCGAACTGATAGTATTATATTAAGAAATAGCTTACCATTAGACAATTGATCTTCAGCTTTTAAGCGACTAGACAAGCATTCAGAATGAACAGACATTGTCAAATGACATCGAGATGTAGATCCTATTAATCCTTCACGGCGATTGTCAACATTAATGCTACTATTTACTACTCCACTAGAGGCAGTCAAGCCGTTGTTCGAACCACCATAACCACTGCTACCAGTACTTGAATTAGAGAATGGAGTGTGCTCGGCACTTTCTCCTTCACTTCCACCGGCTATATTATATGTACAAGGTTGATTTGAACGACTATACGTATCAAGTGTGTGAAGATTATCGTGAAGTGGAGGAGAAATAGCGTTAGTTTGATTGTTATGATCATCATTGTTTTGATTTGGAAATGAATGTAGAACAGATGATCTTGAAACAGTTTTATCAGAGGTAGAATATGTTAAGTCCATTTGTTGATCAGTAGAACTAGGTGTATTAGGCACATCTAATTTAGCTCGCTTATGAGGAGAAATTGTATTTCCAGGATTTATTGAAGTAGAACGTTGACTGCCAACAACATCATTTGCAGTAGACGTTGTAGGATTTTGGTGACGAACATTGACAGATTTATCATACACCTGAGAGTGTTGATTTAAACTGGAGATCTGAGTTGAGGGTACTGAATTTGTGTTTGCATTCAGTCGACGGAATTTCTGAGAATAAAACAAAAGTAAATATAATAATGAAACATCATCTAGACACGACTAAAATTCAGTATGCAAAATAACTGAAAAATGGAATGTCAGTCAGTCAGCTACAACGTAGGACCAGGCACACATATGCATACATTTAAGTTGCCATACCTCACTCATTAGCACAAGATGAACACCGAATTCATAGTAGTTAGTTTAGTGGTGGTAATATATAAAAGAAAGATTGTGTATAAAGACATAGTACAGGAAGAAAGACTGATATGAAGCAATTTTAATATCAAGGTTTAAGGGAAGATAAAGAGTGTATACACCTACGCCATTGTGATCGATCACCCACAGTCTACAACCATTGTTTACGATAGTCACACTCCAAGCAAGTAGTCTGCATCTACCAACATGGTTCTGACCAGAAGTTAGTGACTTCAAGAACTGATGCCACGTTTTGGATTGGCCACTCCTAACTCTCTTCCGATCGTTCTCAATATTAGTCAGCATTACGCGTCGTGGTAATCGGTGTCCAGGCATACGTAACACGTGGCCCAACCATCTCATTCGATGAAGATTTATGACCTCGTCAACTGATTTACCATCATTCCCTAATACCATGCGTCTAACCTCACTATTACTTACCCGGTTATCCCAGCAGATGCGAGCAATATTTCTAAGGCATCTGTGGTCAAATACTAATAACTTACGAGTATCTTCTACTCTTAATATCCACGTTTCACAGCCGTATAGTAGAACAGAGCGAACTGCTGCACAGTATACTCGTCCCTTAATTAATATACGGATATTTCGCTTTCACCATAAGTGACTTAAGTTGGCAAGAGCCAAACGAGCTTTTTGAACCCGTGCAGAAATTTCGTCAGACATCAACCCATTAGGGTTGATTAGACTTCCAAGATAAGTTGAGTTGTCGACGCGTTCGACTAATTCACTCCCTGTCCTTAGTTCAGGTGTTGACGCAGGCCAGTCCTGGAGTAACAATATACATTGAGATGGGGAGAAACGCATCCCAAACATCCTGACATTATTACTCAGTTCTAACAGAAGACTCTGAATTTTGTCAGCGTCTTTACCAAACAGGACTATGTCATCTGCGTATTCTAAGTCGCTTAGTGGACCCCCTGGTAGGAGATCAATTCCTGAAAATCCAGTGGACGATAGTGCTATTTCCAGCAGTAGGTCTATGATGAAGTTAAAAAAATAGGAATAGAGGACAGCCTTGCCGGACACTACTTGAGGTTGTAAAATCAAACGACAGTTTGCCATAAGCTCTCACTCGACTGGTAGAGTAATGAGTCTTCACAAGGTTTATATACTTCTGAGGTACACCTTTCAATGACAGACACTGCCACAGAACCTCTCGATCTACAGAGTCAAATGCTGCTTTTAGGTCAAGAAAAGCTATCATTGTCGGACGACGATAAGCATGCCTGTGTTCTAAAACCTGACGAGTCAGTCAGTCAGCTACAACGTAGGACCAGGCACACATATGCATCGGTCCAAGTCCTGACGAACAGTGATTTTATTTATTTATTTAAATACATAAATATTTGTACAAAGGAGCAACAGATACATATGCGCCATACAAATTTCATTCGATTTGCTTGAGGGCTGTGATACTCCCCAGGTGCTTAAACTGAAGCAGGTGGTTTTCTTAGAGGCCCACACCCGGAGCCTTTGACCGAAAGATCTGATCCACAAGGCAGTGGAGCATCGTGAGGAGATGCAGTCCCATGGTAGCCGGTCAACAACGATTGATTCATACACCATTTGTTCCCTCAAGATACTGGAGCCAGCCCATGTGTACCATTGGTTTGGAATCAGGATTTATCAAGCCCCCTAAGTGGATTTTCCGTGTCCACCAAACTGGTTAAAGCACCGGACATTCGCTTTTCGTTCTCTCAATTTCGTAAACAACGGTAACGCCATGAGGAGGCAGTGAGTAGGATTTCCGTGGTAGAGGCTATGTACGCGTGGCCATGTGAGAGCAGTTTAAGAGGGAGAGCGTACTCTCTCCGCTCTCGGCCGTACCAGGGCATTCGGTGAATATGTGGTCGATGCAGCCACGAACAGGTCTAAAGCCAGCCTGATTTTCTCGTGTTTGTAGTTCACGAGTCTTAGTTAGGCGACCAATAATTATTGAGGTTATATTAGTCAAACTAATTCATCTATAGTTTGATCTATAGTATGATTTTGACTACTTCTTATATATTGGGACAATCAATGATTGAGACCATTCAGATAGCATTATGCTCAACTCCCAGATTTTAGCTAAAATATTAGTCAACCTAATCGCTGAAATGGAACCACCATATTTAAAGACCTCTGGAGTCAATCCATATGGACCAGCTGCTCTTCCTTGTTTCAGAGTAGTTATAGTCTTTTGAACTTCAGCTAGAGTCGGGGGACCTACTTCACTGTTCCATCCAGACTGTTTGGGAATGGTGGGTAACTGTAGAGTAGATGAAGGCCAGCTAAACTGTTCCGCCCATCGTTCTATAAATATTTCCTATTCAAACTAGGCTAGATACATCAAAACTGAGTACGAAATGAAGATTTTGGCTATTAAATACATTAAAAGCCTATAAATTATTAACCATAGTATTTACGGACAATCTACAAGTTATCATCTTCCTTGAGTCTTTTGGACTTCTATTTAGAGATCTCTCGCATACACGGATGTAAATTGAGTGAGGATAAATAATTAGTTAACCAGATTCAGTGTACGTCTAGACTTATGATCAGTAGGAAAAGTCAATTGTATTACAAGATCATATTAACAGGACGTAAACAAGTTTGAAATGTTGTATTGGGTTTTAATTAGCTGAAACACAATTTATAGTGCTCTGGTAAGTGTGCACAACTGAATCCAATGTTTACCAACCATAAAAAATCAAATAAATATGATATTAATCATTTTGATATGCAAATTCTTCATAACTAATTGTGATAAAACTTTAAAATGTACTTAGCTAATACAGTCTGCCATTGAGTTGTATTGTCCAAATATTCAGTCATTTACAAAACTCTCTGAGTTCCGGGACTAATAGCACCGGACAATCAACTAGTGTACAAGTAGAAGTTACTGAAATTAATAGTCCTCTTAAATATTCCTTGTTTTTTGAACATAGAAAATAATTAATAAGACACAAGCAAATTGAAATCTTAATGTGAAATCACAGTGAAATTTTACAACTAGACATTAGGATTTTCCGTATTTATCTATATAACATTGTAAGATCCTTTTCTACTACTCATCAATAACTATCAAAAGATTTAATTATATGAGCTGTAGATTTAAATATAAGGATCTCTATCTAGACAAAGTGATTACATGGACTATGTAATTACTCCATGTATAATGACTTAGTCACATATAAAAGGTTGCTGAAATGTGGCAAAAATTGACGAAGAGAAATTAGACATGGTAAAATGTACGAATGATATTGAACCTTCGTAGCATTTACATTGCGCGTACGCCAGAGAAACCACATAATAAAATGAAATATTAGAATGAGGTTACCATACTTTAATCCCAATATCGCAAAAGCGGAATACTACTTCACTTAAAGTCAAAACTATTTTCACTGAAGATTTAAGAAGTAAAATCTAATATCAATAATGTTAAGTTACTTTTATACAAAAACAACCTGCTCTGGGGACGCAAAGTAGATAAAATTAATATGTTAGGAGAGAGATCATTCATGTAATATATGCCGAAAATGTAACCTATATTTTGTTGTTTGATGTCTACACACAACGATAACTCCTGTTAAGTCCGATTTTGGCGACGAAAAAATAATTGAAAGATCTGCCAACGGTTTAAACAAAACTTTACAAAGTCGACATAGAAATATTCTTACCTCTCGAAGTTCTGATTCATTAGCTCGCCACTGATCCAACAGTCCACGGAATACTCCTAGACGGGCGGCAACTTCCACATCACTCACTCCTGCACACAACATATCCAGTGCAGCAATCTTCTTACTTAATGCATGAGGTGCCGAAGGAGCATTTGCTCTTGTTGGACGTCGAGTAAACTGGTCATCAGAGGGGGTGGACGAATTGTCAGGAGAAGCGGTTCGAGACTGGTCAGTAGGAGATTTGGGGGGAGTTTGAGACTGCTGACTAGTCTGAATAGAAAGCAAAGGGTGAATGATGAAAATTCACTTACAAATTCATTCAATTTAAAAATTAAGAAAACTGTTTGATCTGAGCTTAGCAGAGTTTCGAACATGAGACAACAAGTCAACGTATCATATAACAGGCAATGAGAATTACCAACACTATTTGTTGAAGCCCAAGCAGTATTCAGCACGTTATACAGATCAACAACTTAAAAGTTAACAACTGACCTTTAGAGAAATGATCCGTCTTCTCTCAGCACCAGTATAACCTGGCCAGTTGGCATCTAATTCTGACACCACAGACGGTATAAGGTAGTATGCCGATTGCCTTCCAACACGACCGACTGACGACAATATGTCGGATATTTGCTCTTTTTGGGTATGCGACAAGCCATCACGGGACAACCGTAATAATAATTCGGGGCGCTGATAAGGTCGTAATGCCAGTATGTGAATAATGCGTTCTCTAAAATACATATTGAAAAGTATAATATATAAATATGGTACTAAAATACAATTGGGATGTCAGAGTGCAAACAAAACTCAACTAAGAACGTAGGTACACATCTTTCATATAGTGACTAGCAATTATGTGCTTTGACATGAAACGGGAGTTATACACCAAACGTCACTAACAAAGCGTAATCTATATTAGGAGCACTAAACCCCGTTATCACCAAACACATCATCCCTATATTTGCGGCAACTTTTTTCATAATATCAAATTGAATAAGTACCTTTGAGGCCCTTGACCAAACTAGGGAGAATTTAAAAATATGGTTCATAAGTTAGAGATATAATTTTACAAACTAAACCATAAATCGAGATTAATCATATACTGTTTTTTCAAGTAGGTCACGATTATTGAGACATCTTACAAACGGCTTCCAATAACCAACATTACTAAGCGCGTGTCTAAATATTATACGAAAGATGGTACATTAAAGTCAGCGGAACCCACGTGTATAGTGTCATAGTTAAAAGGCTAAACTTGGATTAATCCCAAGAAAACAAAACAAAGATAAAGAACTCACAGCACTTAAACTACTCGTATATTATAATTATAATCAAGAAATTATGCGCAGTTATGTGATTGGTCAGCAACACCTACATCACATTAAAAATAAGCTGGTGAAAATACAGCTTTTTACAAAAGTGAGTTAGTTAAATACTTAACCTGATTATGACAGATAAGATCATTAACAAATAAAGTAGGCTAATATTCAAATCCATAAAACCTACAGCTAGAAATAAGAAGGCCTTACAGTAAATGATCAATAACTTTATATTAAGTAAATAAATCAAACGACTTACGCTTCAGAAATCCTAAGCCACCACCAAATTACAGGAGGTTATAAAGTTCAATGGATAGAGTAGTATCGTATTTACTCGGATATACACACAACAGTATGATTTCAATAGAAATGTATCATACAGTAAGAACAATGAGATAGAAACCTACAGTGGAATGCCATGATATATATTTTTTGAGACTAAACGAAGAATGATCTGCAAGCGGTAGACAAACGAGTCTTATCAACTAACAGTGTGCTAATAAACAATAAGTACTTCAACAGCCACTGATTCAGAACTAGAAGAATTCATTCAATGTAGAACTTCCTAAGAACAACTAAGGTATATTAGAGTGCCAGCAGACCGAGATTATACGTATATTCTTCATGAGTATAAGCAGTACATCGAAGAAATAAACACACCTCAGTGAGCGTGCCAAAACATCTGGATTAGGTAATGGAGGACTGGGACCACAACCAACAGGATTCTGTGACTGAACTCGATTGGCTACGTTAGGGAAATCTATGTTCTGAGGTGAAACTTCATTTCCCTTTCCCTTTAAATTTACACCATGACTGCCTTGTTTGTGAGCGGGTTGAGGTACTGCTGTTCTTGAAGCCATGGATTTGGCAGATTTGATTTCTTTCGTTTGAGACTTTTTATTTTCGTCTTCTAATTGTGTCATTCGCTCCTTAGCCGCTGAAAAGCTATCCTCCTTAGCGTTGACAGTGATTCTGGAGACCATCTTTCCCAGACAATGAGTTGAAATTCTTGAGTAAACAGTAGGTTACATAAGGAAAATTCCTTACCCTTTGGTGCGCAAGCAATTAAAAGATTCATCGTGAGTACTTGTTAAGCTTGAGGTACTGAATGTAAATTTGCTGCTGTTTTTCCCGATAGGGACAATAAAAGACTACGGAAGTGAAATAATTATATAATAGAACATTACTCCTTCGGACCCACTGAACGTAATGCTAAAGCTGTGGTTTCCCTTTATTAGTTAATCAACACAATACTTGGATGAAAACTTACTGGAGTGCTAGCGAGTTGCTCAATATCTTTCAGGGCAGAATCAGTAAGACGAAAGTGAACTAGTTCCAGATCGTTATATGAAGCATCATCGAACACAAAATTAGAATCGTTCGAATAGCGGAGAGACATATCAGGAGCAGGCGCTGCGGATAATGAAGTCAGCTGTAACCCGCACCCGCCTTTAACTCAAAACTTATAGTCATTGACAGATTTAAACAAAAGTATAACAACTCAAGTTTTAGGGTTATTTTGGTGAAAAGATGGAAGAGTTAGCATATTTATATTACTAGCGAATTTATTACGAATCTTTACCACATTCTGTTACCAGTTAGTCAGTTTTTTTGCCCTTGCATTATGTTTCCAGCTGTAGCTGTAAATAATTCCCTAAAATCAATAGCTTTTTAAGTGTTCGACATTGGATGCTTACCACATTGGTTTATAGCGGACCTTTTTAGCTGAAGGCATTCGGTCATGCATCCGCACCAGATCACGTTACAGCACAGCGTGGGAAACATCTCCTACAATCACTAGCCAGATTAGATTAATCGCTTCTCGATATATTGGCAACGCATCAAATATATCTTCCAACCTCTTCTTTCTGACTTCTTATTTTAACTGTGTGGGCACGATTCGATCATAGGTGTTACTGGTAAAGAGTTGTCAAACTGCAATACTGAGTTTCAATGGTCCGAACTATCCTGACAGTGTTTTGTAGTCAGTATGTTTTAGGGCAGATGATTAATCCCACCGAATATTGTACGATTAGAGTTTGAGAACAGGAAAGATTCAGAAAGAGCAAGAATAATAACATACGAATGGAAATGATTATAGGTGAACTGAAGTAAAATAGTCATTAGGAAGAAAACGGGAAGTATCATGAGAGACGAGTAGAATATGAATAACGAGGGAAATAGCAGCTTAACTTATTATGGATGCAACTAGATGAGGAAAAATAAAATGTGAATAGAACCATTGTTTCCCGGCCTCTTCATAAAGTAGCATACTAGAAAGCCTGTGATTACATCAACCGGGGATGAATTCCGAATAAAAAATTGGAATTTTAAAAAGTGAGGTTTCACATTACTGTCCGCTTACAGTGAGAGAATTTTCAGAAACAGGTTCTCAGATCGTCGCAGTTGTGTACAGGTAGGAATATTATGTTGAGATGGCTAGAACTACTTAGTATTTTGATTTTTGGGATCTGATCGATCACAATTTTCGCATAGTCCAGTCCGAATAGTTCGACTCCTAGAAGATGACTCACATACAACGTTTTTGATCCTGTAGCCCAAATTTTCGAATCTAAAAGACGGTGTCATTTTTGGGTAGACACGGCCAAACAGTGTCGTTGGTTCAGGACATGGACGGATACAGATCTTAAATATTCCCAAGACAGCTTAAAGGTCCGTATTTCTGACAGTCCTCGACTGAAGTAAGTTATGTGAGAGTTGGTTTGTATTTTCAGAGAGCAATCACCCCTATTATTCAAACTATCTACCAAGAAAAGTCTAGGCAGTATGTCACTCGAACATTGAGGGAGTCACGATTGCGAAGAATGTAGAAAGTGTTTTCTTTCTCCTAGGTTCACATAAGAAAAAACTGGGAGCTTCATTATTTATTTGAATGGTTGTTAAAGTGCAGAATTATGGTCTAGTGTGTTATTAGTCCATATATTTTTGCTACTGTAACAATAGACCAAATCCCTAAATGGTAGGTCTGTCATAATATAATAACCGTATCTACAAGATCTTACATGGAAGCCACATCATAGTCTATAATGACTTTCTCTGTCATAACAATCAGTAATATGATATTTATTACTTACTTTAGAACACATTTCGGGATAAAATAATGTTTTTAATGTGCGAAAATACGATTGGTGATTTTTCGAGGCAGTGACATGAAGTGCTGATTTTTGTTGTGAATTGCTACAAAATTATGGTAAAAAGGCCATTAGACGCCTCATGTATAATTCCATAGGTAACTGAAAAAGCACAGTGAGAATAATTTGAATTCGTTTAGTTTGTTTCTTCATATAATGATTCATCTTCGACATTAACAGTCGTCAGTTAAGACACCCAAGGAGGACTGCATAGTAATCTTCATGGAGGAATATTAGGCATCACAGAACTTTCTTGAGTTTTCGGCCTCAACTCACAGATGGCTAACTGAAACTTTGTGGCTGCTTCTGTTATTATTTCACTCTTTAGAGATAAACAATAACTTCCTATTGTCTTGCAGCATAGATTAGTGCACAGGTCTTTTTACTTCTGTTATTCTGTTATGTAGTAGCGAAGACATAAGTACGGGTAACTCGCAGGACCTACTATTGGACTATCATTCTTATTGTATAACTGTTCGGTAACTAGATTATCTATATCTATATTCATCTTATTGTAAGCTTCATTTTAACCTATTGATTATTACTATATGATTTACTGTCCCTATGTTATACTCAGTTTTATTGATTATTGTCTCCCACGCTTACAGCCTCATTCGGCTTGGATTTGTACAAATATTATTTTCTATTTTATGGTATGATGTGGCCTGTCTGTCTGATATATAAATAAAGTATGCTTGAAATAAACGATTTGTATTGCCGAGGTTGCTATTGGTGTTTTGGACTCAAGTGGACGGGTTAGGCGGATAAGGGCCAATAAGGACGCTAGATTACTCATACTAATCGAACGTCATTGTCACAGTGTGAAGGTCGTAGGAGGCGTATTCTATTGGTGGATAATTTACGCGAATTACGTCCTTGTTAAATTCGTAAGGTTATAACGAATCAGCGACGACCTTGATCAAGTCATAACAATTGGCTACAGTCTAGGTCAAAAACATAACAAATTGGCGACGGCTAGGTCAAGTCATAACATATTCCTTTCCAGAAGCAATCAAAAAGTGATAAGAGACATTTATATTTGACAGGACAAAAGTGTAAACACACCGCTATGAAGCTGACTTACGTTCCAATATATGTATCCTAAGTTTTGATTTTCCGTGAAATTGAAAGAAACACCATTACCTTTGGTAAGCCCTTGAAAATAAGATCTTATTAGTCATGAGTAAAAGGGTTCAATTTTAATTCACGTATGTTGCAAATGCACTTGATCTTCATAAATATTCTGTAGCGGTATTTCTTTTAACTACACGATCCGCGTAGATGAACACAAGGTAATTGAGAAAATTCACATTCAACACTGGATACGGAAAGTGGGTCAACAATTATGAAATGGGGAACAATCAATCAAAATGGAATGGCTCGGTCATGCACGCGTGGTCACTCTATGTACCCTCTTGCTTTTTTATCAAATATTTTACTCCCTTTACAGCCCAAATGTAATCTTCGGAAAAGCTAGACGTCATATTTCTGATTATCACTGCAGAAAAAGTCAGCGTACACTATAATATGGCTTCCACGTAAGATTTAATGGATTAAAATGGTTATATCATGACAAACCTAAATTTAAGGATTAGGTCTATTATTATAGAAACAACGAACCAGACCATGATTTCACAATTCCACCGTGATATGGTGTCATCCATGGTCGAGAAAGTGCGATTCTTCAACTAACTGGGATCTATCATATCATGTCTGAACCGAGAACAAAGGAATGGTGGCTGCCGAAAAATTATTTACAGACCTGTAGTGACTTACTTTTCATGACGAGAACGCGATTGGTATTATGGAAAAAATTATTATTATTATTATTATAACCAATTGTACTAGCGATTGTTTTACTGTACTTGGTTGTTTAACTGTATCAAAAGCACTTTTCGTTCAGGTTGTCCACCTTGTTTTTACGAAAGAGCTTACGCTCCACCGTTTTGTCTGTAATTTTTAGCACGTCTCGGTATTCTTTCGATACCACGAGATCACCAACAAATATATTTTATCTGGACCATTAACAGCCTTCTGGTCTTCGGCCTACCGAAGGATCCAAGTTGATATCTGGCACGTAATCTTATTGTAATAGTGATTATAGTTAATCGCGACTCGTCGCCATCTCCAGACTATTACATATATATTCTTGCTGCATTATTATTAAATAAATCTATTATACATACATACATTCCTTTCACCATAGGCTTTCATTTGAGTCATTAACTATTATTAAAACTCCAGGAAATTTCTCTCGAAGTCAGTCACTAGTGAGCATATGATCATCATCAAAAGGTGCTTTTGTGGAGATTTCAGTAATTTTATAGTTGTTCAACCTCGTGGATCGGTTGAAGTTAGACATTAACACCGTTAGATGCCGGCTCAGTGGTCTAGTGGTTAAGCTCTCGAGCGCGAAACTGATAGGTACTGGGTTCGAATCCTGCGGGGCTGGATCGTGAACACGCACTGCTGAGGAGTCCCAAATTAGGACGAAACGGCCGTTCAGTACTTCCAGGTTTTCCATGATGGTCTAGCCTCAGTTGACTGATGATTTCAACTATAAAATTAGTCGAAATAATCATCACATCGGACTAAAAATGAAAGTCATGTTGAACAAAAGTCACAGTGAGTACAAAAATTGTAATTTTGCCTTTTCATCCTATATCATATCAGTTGAATAAAGTTTAAGCATGAATGTAGAAGAGATATTGGATGAAAATATATCTTTGTGAAAGTCTCATTTACTACATTCAGATGATTTCAAGTCTCCAAGCCTATACAAAGGAATTATTAAAATGGAAATGATCAATAATATAAATAAATTTTTCCTCAACCATAACAACGCGTTGAACTTGGTTTACAATTATATAATTAGTTACTTGCATACTTACTTACGCCAGTTACCCCTCGTCGAGGAGCATATGCCGCTCACCAGCATTCTCCATCCAACTTTGTCCTGAGCCTTCCTTTCCAGTTCTTTCCAGTTGCTATTCAGCCTTTTCATATCGGCTTCTATTTCCCGGCGTAGTGTGTTCTTTGGCCTTCCTCTTTTCCGCTTCCCTTCCGGATTCCGAGTTAGGGATTGAGTCGTGATGCACATTGGTGATTTCCTTAATGTATGTCCGATCCACTTCCAACGTCTTTTTTTAATTTCCTCTTCAGCTGGAAGCTGGTTTGTCCTCTCCCATAAAACGCTGTTGCTGATAGTATCCGGCCAATGGATGTTGAGTATTTTGCGTAGACAACTGTTTAAAATACTTGAACCTTCCTGATGATGGCCGTAGTAGTTCTCCACGTTTCAGCTCCGTACAGTAG